TTTTTATTGTAACGGTATTTAGAAGGAGGTATATTTTTATGGTTTAGAAGGAGAGGTGAGAGAGAATGAGAGAAGTTTGCAATTTGATTTTAACCTGCTGAGATGAAGTGCTTCCATTAATATGAAGTTGGTTGCTTTCCTTCTGGCTCCGATCAGTTTTCGTAACTTGTTAGGCATTATTGTTTTCAGAGCAAAAATCGTATCTAAACTCAAACAAGACTGCTCGTATCAGGGCGAAGCCCTGATTGTTCCGACTGCCTTTTAATGTTTAATAAAATGTAATAAAAATGAGAAAAAAAAATCTAAAATTTGAAATTTTTTATGAAAATCATCCCCCCACACGCCATATAAAGTACAAAAGGATAGATTTCGCTCCTTGTAACAAATCAATTATGGCAAATAAGCTTCTTCCAACTAATTTGGAACGATTTCTAAGATGGATTAAATCTCCGCTTACGCGTTAATAGCGCTAATTATATCGAGCGTTATTTGTCCCAAATTGGTCAAAATGGCAATCTTTAAACCCTCATAACTTCACGAAAAATGATCACAGGTGAAATATCTTTTCAAATAGAAGCTCAGGACAACAATAGCTTTCGAATGATATAAAAAAATTCCGTCAAAAATGGCTAGTTAAAAAGTCGAAATTTGTCTGAAGAAAAAAAAACCCACCCGAGCACAAATATTCCGTTACTTTCGTATCGAAAGTCGGAACAAAAAAGAACGGAAATAAAAAATAAACTTGTAAAAAAGAAAAAAGGCCGAAATTAACATCAGGAAAAAATATTGAGGGGTTGGTAGGGGTTTTGGTCTTGTTGACTACGAAGTGATTCTTGTGGATCGACGAAGTGGTTCTTTTTCACATGCGACTAAGAGGATCTTATGGTTTGAGGTGTTGAAATGTTTATAGAAGATCTTTCGAAATTGTTTTTTAGCGATACTGACTTTTCAGTAAATTTTCTAATTTTATTTTTTTAAATCTTTTTTTCTCGCCAGCCTTTCTCTTTATAGAGGATATGCGGGCGTTGATGTCTCTTCTAGGTATCATAAATGGGTGCTGAAGATGATATGTTAATCTTTCTGTGGCTCCCTTATTCGGTTTTTTTTATTTAGACGTATGTGTCTTTGATAATTTTCTAGTTTTATTTGATCACCGATCTGGGAGTTTTTTGAAACTGAATGGCAGCAAATTTTGTTTTTGATTTAATAATTTGAAACTGTTTTGAAGTGTTCATTTTTACAATCGATCAGGTCGAGTTGTAGCATAAGGTTCATGATTTATTCTATTGAGAAGAACGCTTTTGAAAAGAACGCGACTATTGCCTCAGATGTGTTGATTGCGTTTGATTCTGTTTCTCATTGACGCGACTACTGCCCTGGACTGGAATATGTCGTTTCACGACTTCGATAACCGGAGGCATCAGCTCTGCGCTTTATCTGCTGGTCTAGACGTTTCTCCAATAGCTTCAAATATTGATGATTTGATCATTGTGTCATAGTTTTTGATCATGTCTGACTCTGCTGTTAAACCCAACAAAGAAAATCTTTCAACAGATACGGAATTTTTTCTGGAACGTCTAGAGGAGAACGGCACCAACTCGATGCAATCTACCTTACCTGCTGCGTAGTTGATAACTCTTAAATAATTGTCATTTTGAAGTTGTTGGACTCTTACAATTAGAATTTGAAGGTCTCCGGCCTGACGTTTTGGCTGTAACAGAAAACACTTAAACTTTGTGAAGAATCATTTTGGAAGAATTAGTTCTTAAATCTGATATCCAAAGTTTTTCCAAAGGAGGAACTCAGTCGTACTCTTTTCTGAAGTCTAAATCGTTTTTGCTGACAACTTTTCCTCTTATCAAAAGAGACTGTAGAATATCATTCGTTCAATAATTCTTGTATTATTTCCCTAAAATGCGGTTCCATTTTTTCCAGTTTACTTTTCTGCTTAGTTTATCTTTACTTTGATACACTTTTGTTTCGTTGCTCGACTGAAATTTTTTGGAAGTCGGTGCTGTCGCACTCCATTGAGCTCAGATCTACTGGAAGTAAGCTTGCTTAATCAAACCTATTTTCTAAATATGACTATCTTTCCTTTTGTTGCTTCTCATCCTTTTTTTGACGTGATCGGCTCCTCCTTGTCCAAAACTCTATATGAACAAATATAGCAGATTACTGTGAAAGAGGCACAGAATGTTCCGACCAAATTCCTGAAAAAAACAAAGATTTTTTTTTTCAAATTGTTGTAGTTTGTTCTTCTTAGTTTGATAACGGTAGCGATAAGCAAGGGTATTGTAACTGGAAACTAAACTTTTTTCCCGTAAAAAACCATGTTCACAAAATGGTCAAATCGTAATCAGTATAATTTTACCCATTGGTTGATACGCATGGTTAATTAATAGCGTGGTTACTGTATTGGTCTTCTGTTTACGGTAAGAGCTGCCTATAAATCTTTTCTCAGATTCGAAAATTTTTGGTAGATTTTTGGCACTGAAATCGTGTGGTTTTAAACTTGAAAAATTGTCAAATTTTTTTGTAAAAAAAATTGAAATTTTTCACAAACTCAATTTTCGGCTTTTTAGTTTAATTATTACAATAAATTCAAATTCATTCAATTTTCCAGGTCATCTGGCGTAGAGGTAATACGGATGCTTGAGACGACAAAGACTTGTGCTTCGAATCAGTCGGAACCCGTTTTTTTCTAAAGCTAGAATTTTTCTGCTTTTTCGAGCAATGGTCAGTCTCTTTCTTTTTTTCGATTTAGTTCCCGTTCCAAGGACGTTCTTTGAGTTTTAAAGATCCAGCTTTCTCTAGGTTTTTGAAATATATCAGTAAAAGTAATTGAGCTAAAAAAAATTTCGCGAATCTTTTTTTGCTTTGTTTTGAAAAAATTTTTAAAAAATTTTACAAATAAGTTTTTTCTGAAGTTTTCGAAAAGTTCTGCTTTGTCGAATATTTAGCACGGAATTTTTAAGCATGCGGTTGTTTTTCTTGCAATTAGCATTGTTGATTTGTTAACGCTGCGTAATTTTCAGTTGTTTTTTTCCGAAGCAGTTGTCTTCCTTGGCATCGTTCAGTTGTCTTATTTGGCGTTTTATTTCTGTTTAAAAAGATTTATATTCCAGACAAATTGATAAAGTTATGAACATATTGCTAGTTTCATTTTTTTCGATATTATTGCGTTTTCTCACCTCAGGAAAAACGTTTTTAACGTAGCGTTTTTGTCTCAATTTGCTAATTCGCTAACTTGCTGTGCTATGTTAGCATTGTATGCCAAGTTTTCTGCTATATGGTTGTCGACTAAATTTTGTCGGTTCAGTTCACGAATTGAGTCTTGCTTTCACTACACATAAAACACTCCTGCACACTAAAAATTCAGTATTTTTTGGTTAAATTTCAGCTTAAATGTCGGTTGTAATTTTTTGTAAGCTTTTCTACCTAATTTTGTATTTCTTACAAAGTTCCGGCTTTTTTTTATAAATCAATCAGACTCTGGCTCCATTTTTTCGAATGCTCAATATAAATTTGACAGAGTTTTCCTTGAAAAACCAAAGGATTTTAATCATGATAAAAATTTTTTTTCAGTTTGCAAAATTTTTGTGTTTTTGTTCCGTTTTCAATTTTAATTTTTTTTTCACCCGAAATCTCGTTTGCTACGTTTTAAGCATCATGCTGTTTAAATCTCTTTTTTGTTGTATCGCAAGTAATGCGAAGCTCAACTTCGATTCTGTGTTGGAATAAGTAACTAGATTTTAAGATAATTCTACGGTCATAGTAAAATAGGCCAATTGGAAAACAATTTTTGTTAAAAAAAATGACTAGAAAAACGAAAAAAAAAAAATAAACGTTTTCAATTTTTTGCAGAAGTTTATTGTTCCCAAAACGTCGTTAAAAACTTCAAAAACTAACTTTGTTCGAGTAAAACTATTTTTTTACGGCCTAAAAATAAGCATAAATAAGCATAAATAAGCTCTTGTAAGCCTGCGCGCTCACCTTAAAAGATCAAAATTCGACCGAAAATCAACGCCTTCAAACCGGTTATTCTCGACAATGAGTCCCGGTGTTTTCCGTTCGAATCACAACTGAAAAGGCTTTAATATGATATATCACTGGACCTTTTCGGATGATTAATTGTGGCACCTGATTTTTGAAATGGTCGGAACAATTATTGCAAGGCTTAGAGTTATGAAGATTGGGAGAAACTCTCATTTTTAAAACTAACTTCGACGCGAATTTTTTTCTAATGCTGTTCAGATTTTGTAGCTCGCTGTTTAAAGTTTTTAGCTGTTTGAATGAAATTTCGTTTGCGATGAGATTATCCATCCGTGTTTCTTTTATACAAATAACTGTTATTGTTATCCAAGCCCTTCAAAGTGTTTTACCATCGCACTCAAACGAAACTTACTTGGCAATTATTCCTTTAACAAAAAATTCATCATTATTTAAGCTAACCAGATAATTATCCTTTTTTTTTTCAACCCAGTGACCATTTTTTTGCTTGTAGCTAAAACAACCTTTCAAACATCCTGACATGTCCATTCGCGAGCATCATTTCAAGTTTTCATCTTCAAAAATCAGTCATGGGGATGGGTCATGCTAAGCGGGCGGATTTCCCTATTTTTGGCTTTATCAGTAACGAGAGGACTCTTATTCGCGTCATTAAAACCGCATTTATTCGCGTCATTAAAACCGTGTACTTTTCTTCTCGAACGCTTCATACTCAAAAACCTTAAATGGAAATGATACTTTTGTATCATTTTTTGCTTTTCGTTTCTGCAATCATATTCAAATTTTTGTTCGATTCAGGTGTTGAAAGGTATGCCGAGAGTTTCTTTACTCCCATGTAATTTCTTAACTCCTACATTAACGTTAGTTTCTCAATTTGCTGAACCTGAAAAACAAAAATTGGGAATGAAATGAATTTACAAAAATGAAAAATAATTATTTAAAATTGGAAAAATATTAACTTTCATTGTTATCAAGGTATTATAAAACTATTTATCGTTGGCTTTTCAATTTATTTACTTTTCTTTTTGGCATTTTAGCTTAAAAATTGTGATCTTCAAGCTGTGCTGCTTTCGTCGTTACTGTGTTGCTGGGAATCTTCGGATGAATTTTCACTGAACGTCATCGGAGTTGTCGCGTTTGAGTAACTCCCTCCAGGACCGCCTACTAAGAACGGGCCAAGGGGCGGCGGGTGGCCAGTGACTGCTGCCAATCTGTTTAAGTGGTGCTGCATGTTTGGAATATTTGGCTGGACAGAGTATAAGTGTTGGTAGTTCCCGCTGCTACCTTGGCTGCTGCCGCCGGTGGATCCCTGTCTCGAACTCTCGCTCCTCGGACTGTAAGGTGGTGGATTGTGTTCTGAGTGCACATGTCCGGGAATGAAGCTGGGTTTGCAAAACCGGTGAGCTCCGAGCGGTGGAAAAGAACGACCGGGTGCAAATTTGACCTCCTGATTAAATGGTAGCAAGCTGGTACGAACCGGAAGATCTTGGTATACATTGCTCCTCGACTGTCTTCCCAGAGGGGGACGTGGATTGAATGCCCCTGCTCCGAAGGGGGGCAAAGCACCTCCGCGACCTAATGGCGGATACTGATGAGTGTGTAGAATAACTGTGGCGGCCGGCTGGTTATCGTGGTTGGTGAAAATTGCCCGATGCGGTGAGGGTGGTGCTGCAATCATATGCTTCTTGATGAGAAGCAAAATCGCAATCATGAGTATTATCACTACGACCGCGATTATGACCAGAACTATCATGACTAACTTCAGCTCGAATGCAAACGGACTGCTATCGTGACTGTCGGAATTTAAAGTTTTAGGAGCTGGAGTTTCGGTCGCATATGTTGAATGCAATTGCGGTCGCATAATCGTTTTTTCGATGCAGTTGCTGGGGTACATTTTTCGGTCGGGGCATGCGCATGTTATTAGCTGAGGATTACTTAGACAAATATAATCACATTCACGAGGGTTAGCTAAAACATTACAGCCACTCAATCGTCCCTCGATGCTTCTTGGAGGCTTCATTGGCTGCCCAATTTCCGAGACCACTTTAACGGACTTCGGTTTGTATTCGCTTTGAGTCGTGAAGTATCCCTTGTGCAAATCTTCACATTTAGTGGTTGGTTGTCCATACTGCTCGTAGGAAGCCTCGCATTTGGTTAGGTTAAACATTTGCAAGTTCATGTTTCCTTTCGAAAAACTTCGTGTGTAGAAGAAACTTCCGTTGAAAAATGTCATCGCTTCCAAACGTACAGCTGGTGAATGTCTCTCCAGAATCGTTCGTCTTTGAGTTCCATCCAAAGAGACGCTTTCAATTTTATGTTTGCTTGAATCGATCCAATAAAGCCTATCAAATCTGAAGTCGATGGCAAGAGAATTCGGCCAAGTTATATAGTTCGCCACGATTGTCTGGTACTCGGATCCGTCCATGTTTATTTTACCAATCAGGGCTTGAGGCTGACCGTAGTCTGAAAAAAATACCAAGTCCCGGAAGGGGTGCACTGCAAGAGCTCTTGGTTTCTTCAGCCGATTTTCACTCGCCTTCATAAGTGTTTTAGCATCTGACATATCACCACCGATTCTAATAACACTTAAGCCTTGTTTGCTGAGCCAGAATAAATTTTCTGTTGTCCAATCTATCGCAATTTGCTGTAGATCTTCAATCACAGGCAAGACTTGTTGGATATCATTGCCATTGAAATCCATGGAAAACACACCGCTATTCTTAGTTCCTATGAAGATTCTCTTCTGTCGATACAAAAAATCCACGCTGTACGGTTCCACAATTTCTGGGAATGTGAAGTCTAAATCTTTGATTTGTGAGCCAGGGTAGAAAATTCGGTCAGAAGGTAGCAATACAAAATCTCCAGGCTGTTTTTCGCATAAGTTTCCGGGCGGAAGTTGCTTCACGCCGTCCGGGCACTCGCATGAAAACTTATTTGGGGTTTCGTCAGAATATGTTGTTTGAAGACACATGAATTCGCAATGACCATTTAGAGACATCCGGTCGCAGAAGTTGGTAATCTGTTCACGTGGTTCGTCAAATGTGTACGCATGTAAGTGATTCACGCTGAAAAGCTGATGGGAAATCAGTTCTTTCAGCAAAAATGAATTGCTACGTGTTCCCGAGTTGTAAGAGGGATATTTATCATTGCTTGATGTCTGATACGTGTGAACACTTGTATGCGACAGAGAAGGGCGAGATCCAAAGTACAGAACTCCTTTGAGGTAGGAAATCCCAAAAACATCGGATTTGTCCAAAACATCCTCGAACTTGTGCACGCCGTTCGGGTACTGCAAAGATGCCCTCTCAATTTTCCCTTTGAAGCTGTAGTAGATCTCGTTATTTTCAGCATCTATTGCTGGATACTCTAAATCTTGGGTCGATTTAATTTGTGCCGTAATTTGTTTCCGGGATCCGTCTCGGCCGTTCAAATCGATTCGTTCTACCGTTCGATAATTGCCGAACTCTTGCGTCCAGAATAAATATCCGTCATTGTGATCGATCATCAAACCAAACACGGCATCTTCGCCAACTTGCGATGAAACAATTGTTTTTGTCCGCAGTTTTTCCTCTCCCTCGAATAAATCGAGTTCTGAAACTTTGATGCATTTGCAGAATCGTTCGGCGTAGTATAACTTTCTGCCAATTTTATCGAGAGCGAATGAGGTAACATCTTCGCCTTCAGCGTAAACTTGACTCAACTTCCCCGTGAGTAAATGAACTCTCCTTATGGGTTCCGGTGGTTTTTGATAATCCGACGCCAAATAGTACAAATGCTTCTGGCTGGGGTCAAAATCAAACTCGCCGATTCTACTTTTGCGTCCGGGTAAACTCACCTCTCCAGCTAGTAATGGCCGGTCCTTGAGGTAGACGAGTTTAACCCCGCTGTCGTGAGACATCAAAAGAATATCCGAATCCTGACGCTCGTGACAACTTACACCGTCTGAGCTTAACTTGTACCCAAAGAAACAGGTACATCCAAAGTAGGGCGAAACCGACACCTTCAGACATCTTTGAGAGCACTTAGCTATCTCACATGGGTCTGATACTTGCTGCAACATTTCCTGTTTGTAGACTGCAATTCGCTCAATTTCATCGTTCAAATTCTGCGCGAAGGAAACTGCGTCAGATTCTTCTCCATTGTGTTTGGTGTAACTTTTCACGTGTGAATGGGCAATTACAACATTTTGCTCGAAAATTGTGAAGCACCAGTTTTTGTTCTCGTTGATATAGTTTCCCAAAGGTACTTCAAAATTTTGCGTCTCGCCAGCGCTTCCAACGTACAACCATTTTTTGCCGTCGGCTCTTCTGCAGCTGAAATAAATCTGCGATAAAACTGCTTCAAACTTGATTTCGTCAGGCCAACAGTTAACTGCAGTTATAATTACTTTTACGTCCGACCCGTCCATGTTAGCTTGCCAAATCGATCGACTATTTTCCTCGCTCCAGAATATCAATCCGCTTAGTAGATCCAGTGCTATATGTCGAGGCGATTTTTCTCGCGATAATAAAACATTGCTGTGTATTGGCTCAGAAAGAAACGCAACTTCAATAGTTTTTCGCACCAAATCTGACCAAAAAATAACATTCCGAGTGCTGTCAACGCCTAATGAAAACGGTCTGTCTAAGTCGGCTACGATTGTTGTAGGTAGCAATCTGAAGTTTGATGACTTTTGATTCTTAATGTCAAATACGGGCACCCTTTGAATACTGGAGCCCCCCTTTGAACTGTGTGAACTGAATCGATCGTCAATCCAATACAAGAAATCTTCGTCGAAGTAAAGTTCTTTGGCACTGACTTGATCCGCAATTACAACTCGATTCTCGCCGTTTAGATCTCGTTTTTCAATTTGTTCGTTTTGTTTTGTTGCTATGACGACAAAAGACTCGATTATTCGTTTGCATACGTTATTTCTGGAGTCCTTCAAGGTGTGATCTGGACACATACAAGTTGACCTTATTTGACCTCGGGGCAGGCAGATTCCGATGTCAAATTTACAAATAGGGTCGTCGTCACAGCCAAACGGATTCGTAGACTCCCCGTATTGATTACGATTTGATTCTTCATTTTCAATAGCCGGCAAATTACTCGAAGTTGTCATTTGAACTGGAGCAAAACCACTAGGTAATTTTTGGATAATTTTAGCGCCCATTGAGGAATAATGTTGTGGGTCAAATTTGGAGTCTGCATTAAAATTACTCAGCGGACCAAACGAATAAAAAGCTATTCGTGCTTCGTCCGAATATATGATTTGATTGGCTAATACCTCAAACGTCAAAATTCTCTGATTAACTCTATCGTTCATCTGTTTCAAAATGTCTGCCGATCGTGGCTTTCGGGAACCAGTTTGATCATTACCGATCGGAATTCTCTTCAGCTCCAGTCCTTTTTTATCCATAAAATACAGAAAGTCTCTTTTGATGTCAACTTTCAAGTTCTCCGGCTGAGACTCAGTTCCAAAGTACAGAACGTCACCTGATCCTAATTTGGAGCCGTCTTGATTGTATGCTTCGATAACTCCGGAGCCATTCTGGAATTTACTCGCGAGGTACAAACGACCTTTATAAGGATCCAAAACGAGTGATGTAAAACACCGCCAATCTTCAGGCGTATGATTGTCATACCTGCCCTGAAATATTGTCGATCTGTTGAAATTGGAATACTCTATAGCTTTACTCGACTCCTGATTTGTACTTGGAAGTTTAAGATTTGCTACTTTCAATTTTGAAGAAAACTGTTGATTTTTTTCGTCTTCGATCCAGTAAAGTAACTCGTGTACTGAGTCATAATTGAGAGATGTGACCAAATATGAATCCACCCAATTTTCAACTAAAGTATACCCAGGAATCTTGTTGCTGTTCATCTGGCTAACGTCCAGCGCCATCAAATTCGTCATGTGGTTGAAAACTATCACGAAATTATCTTTGGCCGAAATGGTAACTGGACTATTTCTAGCTGAGTTGCTCTGCATGACAGTTTTGCCGTCCAGAATTGAATTTCCATATGAATCCAAGCTCAGTTCGAGAATGTCTCCAGTTTCGAGTATAGCGTATAGTTTTTCCCCTTCACCTTTCGGATCAGGCTGCATAATTGGCGGAATGCACGAAAAGGAATCTTCGGCTAAGGTGTAACCTTTGTCGCAGTAACACTCAACTCCTAGTTGACCGCTCTTTCGGCAATTGTGATGACAACTCGTTGGCAAACACTCAGCATTCGAGAAAATGTCGCAGTTTGATTCGTCCGATCCGTCCTGACATTGTTTGACTCCGTCACAAAGCAGTTTGTCATCAATATAGTAAATAGCAGTTCGATTTGACTTCTTTCCACATTCGAAAATGCCTTCGGGTTTCTTCGCTGATTTCGTCTGCTGGCAAAAGTCGGGCTCGTCTAAGCCCGAGAAACAGTCTTTGGTGTCGTCGCATATGTTGAAATGGTGAACGCATTCGGTTTTCTCCGAACCGCAATCACTCTCGGAGCTGTCGCAGCCCTCATCGCAGAACGACGGGAACTCGTCTTCTTCGAGAGGACAGTCGGGCTTACCGTCGCACACAAACAAAGGGTGAAAACATAATAAAGTGTCTTCAGGAGTGAAACATGTGAAAAGCCCAGGCGCACAGTTCGAGTCTCTGACGCAAATGTTGTCATTGTCTTTGCTTTTATTGTACCCATACCCGCAGCCGCAAAGATCCGGGTGTTCATCTTGACTGTCTACACAGTTCTGTTCGTTGTCGCACCACCAGAAAGATTGGAGGCAGTTACCGCTTCCTTTGCTGACTTGCTCGCAGTACATAGAATCCTCAGGGCAATCGTGCTTGGCAGCAGCCGAGGGCAGCAAATTCTTAGGTCTGTAGGCGCATGAAGATTCAAGCTCGTCTGATATGTCTCGATTACCGCAGTCCAAGAAGCTGTTGTCACAAACTTTACTAGCATCGATGCACTTGCATGATTTATGGCATTGGAATTGGTTCGGCAGACACCCTAGCACTCCCTTGCAGTTTTTGGGAGCCGGAGGTCTGCTCATTGATGAGGATTGTGATGATTGCCAAAAATTAGCGGATGATAATGATGATGCTTTCAGAGCACTTGTTAGCGGTAAATTTAATAGAAACGAGGCTAATAAAGTAAGTGAGATTACCAAATTCGAAATTGCGCTAATATTAAAAAAGTTCTTCCTGATCTTTTTCCGACGTCTTGTTCTGCTCCAGATGGTAAAATTATGGAACATTTTGTTGTGTTTCGAGAAGATGTTGAATGGTAAAGAAGTAATTGATGGTGATTTTATATTGTTTTTTGAGGCATGTAAAAAATAATGATTCCTTATTTTGCCGAAATGCATCCTTTGGTCACTTTTTTGATTCTCAAGATTAAGAGATCTCGAGGCTTTAACGAACGAAGGCAACAACGATTCCTTGTCGATTTCCATTGGAGCGCTGTGGACAGTTTTCATTCGATTAACCTCGAACGAAGGATGCGTTTGTCATAACAGAAGTAGGAACAGAAATGGTTGTTTGATGTCTGGTTGCTAATTTTTGACGCCTCGGACCATCAAATGCCTCACAATTTAGTTTAAGAAAGAGTACCCTCTTTACGTTTGCTCGTTTTCTAAAACAAAATAACTGCTGAGATTCGAAGTTTGCTTCAAATTTTTAGATGTGCTACAAAGACACAATTTGTGCTGCTGATGTTACGATTTTGTTAGCTGCGAAAACTTATACTTTATGAATTTTTACAGCGTTTGTGAAAATGTTCGATCAGCCATTGTAACTTATATTCGTTTTGCACGTTTTTTGGTCAGAAGAGAGCTCAAAAGCTGTCCAAAGACAAGAAATTAAAATGAAGATTTTTTTTCAAAATATAAAAAATTGTCAATAACTGAAGTTTGTTTCTTACAATATCTGCAACGTGTTTTTTATTTTGTTACGTATGAACGCTAAATCATTTCTTCACGAGCAAGCTAATATTGTAAAATTCTGCACGTCATGTAATCAAATAAAAAATATAAACAATACCGACAAAAACACGGCATCTTAACTCTTAAGAAACAATTTTTTCTAAATGCGCACTTCTTTTGTTTGCCTGTGACCAATAAGAAAGCAAAAAATATAAATAAACTTTCGAAACTATATACATTTCGCAATACTCGAACTACATCAATACTATTGAAAAATTAAAAGTATTCAAAAATACACGTATGAAAAATAAAATCTAAGGAGTATCAGGATCAACTTCCATCATCAACGTGGCTCCTAAAACAACAAATCAGTGCGATTGAAAATTCTTCGAATCATTTGGAATCTTGCTTCAAAGGGAAGAAATTAATTGAAAGTTTTGCATATGTTAATATTTCACATTGGAAAAAAATGAATGCATGATCGGAAGGTTCTGTGATACGAATCACTAAAATCCTAACAAATATTATTTTTCTAGAACTTACCGCAATAATTTGATGCATAATTGTTTGGATGTATTTCCGTTTTCCGAATTACTGGATAATCAATGGTTTGTTAATTTGAGTCCAAATAAGCGAAAACCGAAAAGAGCAGTGACTTTATTTTTAAATGTTTTATTTTTACCTCCTTATAGGTGCTTAACTCCGACATTGAGCATTTTAAAAGAATACTCAAGTCAGTAGAAGTCAGAAGTCAGAGGTCTTTAGATTTTGTGCATTCGATTTGAAATTATCGTGCTCTCAAATTTACTTCAAATGCACAATTTTTCAACAATCAATATCGAGCAATTAATTAAGAAGAAAATGTGACTAAAAACCGATGTAAAAATGGAATTTTTTCTTGTTCTTTTTTCAGATAAAAGTATAAACATCCGAAGGTAGCGAACGTATAACGATGAGAGGGATAAATACTTAAAGAGTCATAAAAAGGCTGTTAGTACTGACTTGTTCAAACAGGTCCACAGATTTTATTTGTGGTCTAGATGTATATGCAATCAGAAAAGGACAACTCCATTTCAATCTAAATATATATGTGCGATGAATTTTCAGGGAATAGCAAATGAATTAGAAAGAAAAAAGTACATAAAAAGTAAAAGCTATAAAAACGGAGCTAATGACTGTACTTGCGTCATAAAAGTTAAAGTCCAATCAATTGTCTTTGTGTTGACAAAACTTCGCCTACAATTTTTTATCCAAATATCCGTGCTTCGAAAAAATATATCAGAAGTTGATTTCTATATTTGGCCTAAAAACACTAACAACTGATTTTATTTGAGTTTAACTAGCAAAAAAATCAAAGTTTCTTAAAACAATGCTAAATGTTTGTAAATTTTAAATTTTACTTGCGACTGCATAAATGTATAGAAAAGAGTATTCAAAAGAATATCTATTTGAAGTCATTAATCAAAAGGTAAATTATCCATCATTGGAGTCCTTTTATATCTACAATATTAGTTCAAAACCTAATGAGAGAAGTAATAGTACAGCCTTAAGAGTTATTCTAGACAAAAGGAAATAGTTCATTCACTTTTCAGGCGACTACAGAGGTGAGATAATGAAAAAATACCTGCTAAAAAGTGCGGTACTTTTTTTGTTTCTAGGTACTTAAAAGTTAGCTCGCTCAAATGGAAAGGGAAGGATGTTGTTTGTTGCTGGCTCTTAGGGAGAGCGGACGGGAATTATGGAAAATGTGAGGGGTGTCTATATTGTTTGCGTATGATACTTACCACTGCTATTGCAAAACTCGAAGTAGACCCGTGTATCGATGTTATAACTTTCAAAAGCATCCATTGATTAGTCGAGGTATCTTTAAATTAACGAGGAGTTTATCTGATTTTTTGTTAAACCCGGCATAATGATCCAATAACTTGGTTAAAAATTTTGACGAAATTGAAATCAAGAACACCAAAATTGTATCTGCGAGATATAATTGTTTAATTGCTTCGTCACATTTTACCACACTTTTAATGGTTTATTTTATACTAATCAATTAACATCTAGTTCATGAGATTATTTATTATCATCTGACGGATTAAGATGGCACCATAAACAGCACCTATGCTTTTTAATTTAAAAAGTAATTATTTGAACTAATTGATAAATTGCTGAAAAACTAAATCAATTTTGAAAATTGGTTGTTTAGGCTATCAGCACATTTCGATGTCCATAACTGTGGGATGGGTTTTTAGAGGATTTAAGACGGCTCGGTTGGATCTCGGAGACCTAATGGTGCTTAAGAGATTTTTTGATTGAATTTTTCAACCCCAAATTTTGTAGAGAAGAAATTTTTGAATTTGAAACTTTGCCGCTAACTTCAGACAATGAAAAACTTTAAAAGAAATACCAACATTTTTGGCGTATTTATTATTGTGATTGCATCAAGCGCGGATTTAGGATTTTCGGGGCAATCATTGAATAGCTCTCAAGCCTAAAGGACACTTAAGATTGGAAAAATTCAAACAAGATTTTTTTGAATGCATCACCCCAAGGAAGCCCATTTTTAATAATTGGCAACTTTCATTTCAAAAAGAGTTTCAAATTTTGTGTAGTTCAGAAACTGTTGTAATTTCGAGAAAAATTACGACCAGTGTCGAAAAAAATTTAACGGAAAAGAGCTGCCTCCAATAATTGTTCTCTTTAAAGTTTAAAAAAAATTATTAGTTCTACAAACTAGAAAACTGACCTGATGATTTGATTCCGAAATAAGTTTACAGATTCGAAAAACAAACATATAAAAATAAGAGCGAGATGAACTGAAAAAAGCTATGATGAGCGAATAATGCGTAGGAAGCAAGTATGACGAATTACCCGATGCTGGGACAGTGATTTATGAGTTATGACCAAAGTTATGTTAAATGACCAGATGAAGAATTTGATTACACGTTTTTTTGAATATTTTCACAGTTTCTTATTATATTAATCAGCAAAGAGCAGCACTTGGTCAGTCAGATTATAAAAAACAATTCGTGCTCATTTGTAAATTTCTGCTTTGTACACTTTAAAACGAGTGATCTACCACAAAACAAGTCAACTCTGAATAATTTTCCGCCGCTTGAAGTCTTATCAACTGCTGTTTTTAGTGGTTTAGAGCAGTTCCGTTGATTTGTGTCACTCGTGATATGACAATTCAACTACGCCAGAAAGTGCGCAGAGATTGTGGGCTATCCGCTGCGAAGTGCCGATTTACCTAAATCAATTTAATATTTTTGTAAATTCTGTAATTCTGAAATTATAAAATGAGTAAGATAAGTTAAATTGATTTTTGAAAGAACCATTGCTGCGACTCATTGCGACTCATTGACGTTGCAATCATTGCGACTCAAATTGGGTAATTTTATTTTATGATAAGTTTTATTTTAATATCAGAGTTAATCTCCGGATCTCCCAATTTCCAAAATTGGACGTCTTTTTTTTCTTAGCTGACCGCTACTTAAGCCTTTTTTTAAGACGTCTTGACAAATTTTGGATCAGCAAATAATCTTAATAAAAATTAAATGATGTGTATATCTTTAGTAACTCAGCATCATTAAGTTTACTTTGATGTTTTGCTTATAATAACAAAAAGGCGGTAGTTCAAAAACTTAAGTCATGATTTTATTGTTCTTCTTTTTCATAATTAAATAAAGCAAGACTGCTCGTATCAGAACGAAGGTATGAATGTTCCGTCTGTCTTTTATGGTGTGCGAATTAAATTTTTGCAGAAAAAAAATAGAACTTTCAAAAACTTACAAAAAAAAATTGTTTTTTAAACCTTCTTCACCACATCTAAAGTGGAGAACGAAACAAAAATTAACACATCATTTAGCTCAATTATAGTGTCTAAACTAAATTAAGATAATTCAAGAGCTTGATGAAATTGTATGTGCCACTCTTTGATCAAAAATGTTTGAAATTTCGCGACTTACAAACTATTCAAAATTGACCCAACATTTTCAATACAACAAAAAATATTACTTGAATTAAAAAATTTGAAAAACTTGAAAAATTACCTGAAAAGACGTTTATGAACATACATCTACAAAAATTACGTTTGTCTCAAGTAAGTTTCAAAAACGGTGTTAATCAAGCATGGGAAATCATTTACTAAGGGGCAATCAAGCAGACAAAACTTTGGTCGACCCCGTTAAGCCAAAAACAAAAATATTGTCACGTATAAGTTTGAGCTACGAATTTTTGTATTACACGAAAACCATCCTACGTGAAATATAACAAACATTAAAACTACTCTGTATTCCAAACTAGGCCAAAACATTTGACGAAAACCACAAATCCGCATAAAACCTAACAATTTTTTCAGAAAATTTGGTTGAAGAAATTGTTTATTATCTACAAAGAAGCTCAGTAGTTTTATGTAAGTTGTAATGAAATTGAACATGTCAGCCTGCAAATAAATGTTCAATAAATGAGCATATCAGACGATCGGAAACAGCCGATGTTCAAATTTTTCATTTGGTTCTTCATGTTATTTTGTAACGCATGATTTTCTTTAAACATGATTAAATTAACAATTTCATGTAATTTTTCCGACTTTCGTAACAAAAAATACTGAATATTTGTGCTCGGGATGGGTTTTTTTTCTGTCGAAATTCGACTTTTCAGCTAACCATTTTTGACGAGATTTATTTGTAATATTCAAAAGGTATTGTTGTCTTGAGCTTAAATTTGAAAAAAATATCTTTCACCTGTGATTATTTTTCCTACACTTATGGGGGTTTGAAGATTGCCGTTTTGGCCAATTTGGGACAATTAACGCGCGATATAATTTGTGCTATTAACGCGTGAGAAATCCGTCTCAGAAATCGTTCCAAATTAGTTGAAGGAAGCTTATTTTCCATAATTGATTTGTTACTAGGAGCAAAATCTATCACTTTGTACTTTATATGGCGCGTGGGGAGATGATTTTCACAAAAAAATCTCAAACTTTAGAAAATTTCATTTTAATTTATTATATTTAAATTTTTTATGTTATTACTATGCTCCATAGACCTTGAAAGGCAGTCGGAACATTCAGGGCTTCGCCCTGATATGAGCAGTCTTGCTTTGTTTGCATTTTAGATTATTTTAAGACCATTTATCCGCAAAGGAAAAGGCCAACATAGAAACTTCACATATCCACGGAGAACCGATATCGTGCACCGGTTAAGATCGCATGCAGTCTTTTCCTAATTTTTCTGGCAATTATTTCTTATCCTCAAGCAACGGGCACGGATCATGTTGGGCGTCAAACATCCGGCCTTTCGATTGATAGGCTGAGACGTAAGGTCTTCACCACCGTTGTTAGAACTTACGTCTCAGCCTCTCGACTGAAACGCTGGATGTTCGAAGCCCAACATGATCCGGGCCGTTGCTTGAGGATGAGAAAAGCTTGCTCAGCCCAGAATAATTAGGAAAAAAAAACAGTTTTCATCAAATAGTCGTGTTTCTAGGAGTACACTTCCGACTCAAATTTGATATACATAAAATTAAATTTTAGGGTTCGTCGGCCAAATTGAATGTCGTTAAATAGTACCAAAAGGGGACCTTCGGATGGCGAAGGGGTCAAATCCCTCCTCTAAATCCGCCCCTAGCCAGCAGTCAGGTGCGGTTGCATATAAACGAATTTATAATGCTCATACTGCATACGTTATCTATTTTGGCTTTCCTGAGTAGAGTAATTTTTAATTAGTTTTTAGACAGAAAAGTTCCGGCATAGAACATTTTTGAGAAATGTTGATTTTACGTAAATTTTTTAAAAGTTTTTCTCAGTTCTTTGACATATTCTGCTGGCTTAATACGTTTATAACTGTTTTATTTTTACAAAAGTATCTGTCTGGATGGAGAAGTTGGCTTGCCACTAACCATCTGCAAAATTTTTGCTGGACTTGCAACACTTCAGTCAATGAGGAAACATTCAAAAAGACACTTACCTTGAAAGATGAGCATCTCGAAAACACGAAAATTTATAAGGTCTAGAGATTTAAAACTAA